AATTTGAACGAAATCCGTCCATGCATAACTGAGATCCGGGTCCGGAATGGTGAAAATGTGCCATTTGATGCATTTTCGGCCTTAAAATGGCCGCTATTCGGCTATCGTTAATCGGATCATGAAAAAAATGCATGTGCATATGTCCCATATAATGTGTGATGTATGAGTGAAGTTTGAACATAATCGGTCCATGCATGTTCGAGATACAGGTGATCACGGACGCACGGACGCACGGACGCACGGACGCACAAAGGGCAAAACATAAGTCCCCGTTTTCGGACTCCGTCCGAACGGGGACTAAAAAGGTGTAGTATGATGAGGTAGCAAACAAACTAAGCAAATTTTGTTTTCCTTGCTACAATTGGCGCTGAGCAAGATACCGGTAGCTTTTTTCCTTGCTTCACTTGGCGCTGAGCAAGATAGCAAGATAGCTTTTTTCCTTGCTTCACTTGGCGCTGAGCAAGATAGCTTTTTTTCCTTGCTACATTTGGTGCTGAGCTTTTTCAGGATGATATTAACACACTTTTTTTTTCTTTCATCTAAACGTTTTTTCGTACATTTTCATTAATTTTTGATCTAGGATTATTTTCTCTTCTTTCTGCATGCAGTTCCTCCCCCTATTGACCCGCCCCACCAAAGTTTGTTGTGGTCAACTCCTTACCTCATAGAATATTTGTTTCATTTTCTTATGTGCTCTATCTCTCTTGATGAAACTGGGAAACGGGATCCAACCGGGGAATAACCATGCTAGATACGTAAAACCACCGTCCATGTCTGTATACAGTTGAGCTATATTCTCATCCAAGATGGAACGAATTTCCTTCCCTTGAGAACAAATATTGCAAAATGAAATTCTATAATATCAGGTGATGTGGTTTTTAGTTACATACAACGGTCATATACCTGTTTTCAATTTTCAATCCTTACTTATAATAAACATTTTCCAATTCAAAATACGGACACCAAGATTAGGTACAAAAATGAAAAGTACCTGTCTATATTTAAATGCAAGATGATAGTCTATTATTTGTGTAAAAATGGAAATTTTCATTCAAAAGTTGACAGGTTTGTAGAAATTTAGCTTGTCAAATCAAATTTGTTACCTGTTCGAAATAGAGTAAATATCTTAAAATGACAGGTAGACAGGTGGTTGGCTAAAAGCCTGATGGAGATTAGAAGCACGGGGAGTGCAAACTGATTTACTGTGCAATGTTTGTTAAACCCAAAAGTTTCATCCTGCTGTTGGAATTGCCATACTTACCATGCAAACATCTGCTAGCAGTCAAAATAATCAGTTCTGATAAAGCAACAAACAGATCTGAAAGAGGAAATTTTATTCTATTTATGGTTTTCAAAATATATGGACGTGTTAAGATTTTGATAATCAGTCCCACAAGAAAGTCAGCTACAGGGAGTCACAAGATTGTTATTAGGCTTGTACCATGAGAAATGTTTTTATGTGATTACTCTAAAAAAATTATTTCTTCAAAAAGTCCTATCTCTGCTGTCTTCAAAGATGGTATTGCCCACCAGCGTCTATCATCTAGTTTTCACTTTCCATTATCCCACTTTCCACTTATAAAAAAGTACTATTTGATGTCGAGGTGCCTTGTGGTGATCTCATTCTGATTTGTTCATATGCTGACAATATCATCATTTCTCTATTTTTAGTGAATATTTTTGTCATTATAGATAAAAATTACATTATTGACTGCTTTTTGAAAATAGAATGCTGGTAATACTGTAAAACAAAAGACATGACATTAAAGCTATCTTGTTTAATTGAAAGACAATTGCAATTATGCTAATGAGCATTAGCTATGTTTAGTGCTTCTCTATAAAATTTATTTATGTTCTCATATCAACAGATGACAATGCCATTTTAGTTGGTATTTTTTGTTTTTTAGCAAAAATATGCATTTCCATAATTACATACACTTCTAATAAAGTCAGAACTTACCTTTCTCCCCACTATCTCCCCATTTCCTGAAATAATCACTGGTTTCTTGCTCAATCATTTGAACATGTTTTCGGAACCTTGCAATGTTCAACCCAGTTTTGAACATTTTTTTCTGCTCTAAGAATATCTGTAATAAAATATATGAAATCAATTTTTATTTTTTCTCAAAATATTTTAAAGAAAACGGCTATCCATTCTATTTAGCATGACATTACTTAGATGTACAATGCATGTAGTTTTTATTTCCACCATATATTTTGCTAATTTGTTACACTACAATGAAAATCTGTAATCAGTGTCAATTTTGAACAATAATGAAAATTAACATTGAAATATTTGGTGGGGAAAGTGACATTTAGGAGCTGAATTGAAGAATGTATATGTGATGTTTGTCTCACTTTCATCTTTATAAGTTCATCTAATAAGCATACCAAAAATGAAAAAAAAAATCAACTCTTATCATGTGATTTCACATTCTATGTATCTTGTGTCATTTGTTTTTTTTGGGAGGGGGGGGGGGGCTGCAACTGCTGATGAAAATATGAAATCACATCATGGACATATAATATTGACTCACGTGATTAGGAACATCATATGCTACTCCTTTACCAAACACAGGAGTGACCAATCTAGAGTAGACATCCTCAGCATTCAATGACTCATTTCTACTGTTAAAGAATATTGTACTTGATTCGGGTCCTATAAGGTAGGTAAACGTCTTACCAGCCATTGTGAAGCTGAATACTGGACCATACTGAAATAAACAATATACACTGCATTAGTAATCATTATGAAAGACCACCTGTCTATAGTGACCACTATTAAAGCAGTCCCAGTCCATTTTACATGACCATCCATTCAGAAATATTTTTGCAGATTAGCTTTTCCTTAGGGACTAACATTTTTCTAATTTCCTCAAGTCAAACATATTCCAAATGTATAAGTTGGCATCCATTGAAAATGTAATCTAACCCCAATGACGAGACCACCTACATGTATATAGAATATTCTTGTCCTTGGGTGGTCACTATACACAGGTTTGACTGTTTCTTGGGTGGCCACTATACACAGGTTTGACTTTTTCTTGGGTTGTCATTATACACAGAATCAACCGTTTCTTGGGCAGTCACTATACACAAGTTTGTACCTTGGGTGGTCACTATACATAGGTTTGGCTGTTTCTTGGGTGGTCACTAAACACAGGTTTGACTGTTTCTTGGGTGGTCACTATACACAGGTTTGACTGTTTCTTGGGTGGTCACAATACACAGGTTTGACTGTTTCTTGGGTGGTCACTATACACAGAATCAACCGTTTCTTGAGCAGTCACTATACACAAGTTTGTACCTTGGGTGGTCACTATACACATGTTTGACTACCTTGGGTACGCAGGTTTGCTGGTTTCTTGGGCGGTCACTATACACAGGTTTGACTGTTTCTTGGATGGTCACTATACACAGGTTTGACTGTTTCTTGGGTGGTCACTATACACAAGTTTGGCCGTTTCTTGGGTGGTCACTATACACAGGTTTGACTGTTTCTTGGGTGGTCACTATACACAGGTTTGACTGTTTCTTGGGTGGTCACAATACACAGGTTTGACTGTTTCTTGGGTGGTCACTATACACAGAATCAATCGTTTCTTGAGCAGTCACTATACACAAGTTTGTACCTTGGGTGGTCACTATACACAGGTTTGGCTGTTTCTTGGGTGGTCACTATACACAGGTTTGACTGTTTCTTGGGTGGTCACTATACACAGGTTTGACTGTTTCTTGGGTGGTCACAATACACAGGTTTGACTGTTTCTTGGGTGGTCACTATACACAGAATCAACCGTTTCTTGAGCAGTCACTATACACAAGTTTGTACCTTGGGTGGTCACTATACACATGTTTGACTACCTTGGGTACGCAGGTTTCCTGGTTTCTTGGGCGGTCACTATACACAGGTTTGACTGTTTCTTGGGTGGTCACTATACACAGGTTTGACTGTTTCTTGGGTGGTCACTATACACAAGTTTGGCCGTTTCTTGGGTGGTCACAATACACAGGTCTGATTAGGACTTTCCTGATTTATAAATGATAAAGGCCAAAGACAAATTTTGTACTATAGGGGTCAAAATCAAAATAAGTAGTTTGACTTTTTTATAAGGAAAATCATCCATGAATGCAAAAAACAAAGATAAACAAGCAGCCTATCGGCTGAAATAGCTCCGCTGCTAGCAATGCACATTTTAAATAAAGAACTGAAGACATCATTAGAAAATGAACAATATGTATAGTATCAAAGCAATCGAACTTACAGTTTTTAACGAGAAGTCGAAAATATCACTTTTTACAAAATGACAAAAATATTCACCCAAATTAGAGAATTGAAGATATCATCACGAAATGAACAAATCTGTGAAAGGTCTACATGTAGTATCTATATTTGTAATATCAAAGCAATTGAACTATTTGTTTTTAACAAGAAGTTGAAAATATCATTTTTTACCAAAAATTACAAAAATATTCACCAAAATTAGAGAATTGAAGATATCATCACAAAATGAACAAATCTGAGGGAGGTCCACATATAGTACCTATTTAAGTAATATCAAAGCAATCAGACTTACAGTTTTTAACGAGAAGTCGAAAATATCACTTTTTACCAAAAATGACAAAAATATTCACCAAAATTAGAGAATTAAAGATATCATTACAAAATGAGCAAATCTGAGAGAGGTCCACATGTAGTACTTATATATGTAATATCAAAGCAATTGCACTTGCAGTTTTTAACAAGAAGACAAAAATATTCACCAAAATTAGAGAATTGAAGATATCAACATGAAAATGAACAAACCTAAGAGAGGTCTACCCAAGGTACATATACACCAAGTATCAAAGCATTCAGGCTTGTAGTTTTCAAGAAGAAGTTGAAAAAGTAAAACATTGACACGGACGACGACGACGACGGACAATCACTCATATGATAAGCTCCACTTGACAAAGTCGACAGTGGAGCTAAAAACTAGATGTATAGATAATTACATATACTCTTCAAAAGAATATGTAATATTCATATTAGATATTACAAAAAGTGAAACAAATGCATGCAGTTGTACTGATTTGTGCATACTTCTAGAATTACCTTAATATATGCTTGTTCCAAAAAACCAATCGGATCTTTATTAAATGCAATAGCTTGACCCAGAAATGGAATCATGGAAGATATATAGGGGGGATATTTCTGGAATAGAAAATATTCAATTAATTGTTGGGAGAATACATGTACTAATATTGTAATTTTCACCCAAAATAAGTTTTGGATGTGTCTTCATGCATGCAGAAAAATAAACTGACTAAACGCGAGTATGAACAAACTATCAATGTAAAATAAAATGCACTAAACCAGTCGGCAAATAAAATTGAAGGATACACTGCATGCTAGTTTACATTATGGATGCAGGTAACGTCACGTAGTCAATGTTGACTCCGTCTGATCAGACTTTTTATTAGTTTAGATAGACTTTATTGGTTGACCATTAGAAAATCTGGGAGGGCAATTGTAAAACTACTGAAAAATACTTTTATAAATACTACTATTTTTGCTTGGAATTAATTTTTGCTATTTTTGCTGACGGAATAATTCAGTGAAAATAAAAACCAGCAAATATACATTTTTTCCTGTATTTTACATTCAAATTGTCATAAAAACAGTGAAAATAAATTTCATACAAAACACCCAAAAAGTCTTTTCAGCGAAAATTAATTCCAGCTAAAATAAATTATTTTACAGTATATTATTCTTGCACTTACTAGTTTTGCGCCAGATATTATCTCAGAATTTAATTGAATTTGTTTTGCTTTCCTCTAGCAAATGTGTATGTGTGTGTTTTTTAAAATAAACATACCCCCATGCATCCAGAGTTTTAGTAAATTCTAAAGGCTCGAAATTCCTTCATATCTCGACCATATATTTGATTTAATTCTGATTATTAGTCAATCAATAATAATACCACAGTCCCTCAACACTGTGAGGGACTATGATAATACATATAGTGACAATAGACAATTAAACCTATTAATCAATGAACACAATACTCACAATGTCGTTTTTCGCATTTTCAAAATACGTTATTATTTTTTTCAGGAGCGAAGTGAAGATCAGAAGAAACGTCGCAGTGTACAGAATCGTTGTCAAAGTATTCGAGTTCCTCCATTGTCCTAGGGCGCCTTCAATCAGCGTACTGCCTGCTTGCAGAAATACCATGATCTTCGCGATATATCCAGTGCTGCGTCGAATCGCGATTTCACGGGAGGGCTAAATCGGTTCCAACCCGTCAGGTCACATAAGGGTGTCACAGGTAAGCAGTTAGCAGACGTCCCTCGCCTGGGAACACGCAACAGAGGAAAGTGATAACCCTACGCCGAGGTCATAAGTTATTAAAATAGTTCTGAAATATGCGAATTGTTTTGTTTCTACAATATCCATCCATAATAATACAATTTATATTTTGATTATTTGTCGTTAGTGTATGATCACGTTCAACATATCAGTTTTGATGATTTATTTTTCATTTCAAATTTAACCGTGTGCGAAGTGATATTGTAGAGATGTGTCCCCGGTAAGCCGTACATCTTACGGTATTCCGACTCGTTCATTGGTTGAAAGGTTGTCAGCTCATGTGATGTAATTTCGGAATCACCCCCATATCTGTCACGTGTTCACAACATTGAGATTGTACCCCACGCGTTCAGTGGATGATGAATTTCGTTCGATATTTACATTTCTATTGTCATTCACGTCACGTCACATCATCTTAGTCTGTTCGTCTGTGTTATTAGCGTTTTGTGACTTATATCATCATGGCGTGTTCTGGTGGAAGGTTCGTATTTTTCTTTTGCAACAAAATATCTATATCAGACGTCTGCTTTCGTTTTGACACCGGGCGTCCTGTCCAGAGCCCAAATCTGACGACTGAAAGTAATGTATTACGTAATAAACAATCACCATCTCTCTCTTGAGGTTCTGTCTTAGAATCTCCATGGAGCTAAGAAGTTGCATGAAATCACCAATGCTACACCCAATACGATTCTAAGCCAGAAAGCCAGGGGAGGCGGACTCTCTGTATCAATAGCTCTCAAACACAATGGTTGTTCCAGCGAGGTTTTGTCTGGCCCTAGCGGGCCTTTACCTCAGACCATTCGTACCAGTGTTATCGCTATCACCATGAACACGATAGCGATAAGACCGGGACAATGGACTGAAGGAAACGAGCTATTAATACAGGAGCTATGCTGTAAGACTTCTTAAGGTATAGATGCAGGTTCATGGGCACTTGGGAGTTAATTTTTTTTGCTTTTTATTAGAGAGTTTAAGATTTGCGTACGTAACGGGAACGTAACGTGATGTTCTAATTTCGTTTGCGTTACGTTCTCGGGTGTCAGAAAACGATTAAGTACAAGCGCCCATAACGGGAACGTAACTGAAACCAGAACCATGTCAATCCGTCTCATTGGGCAACAATAACTACCTAATAACATTTGTTATGTCATTTCTCATCCGGAATCTGAATTAGTAGTTAGTTCACAGACATTTGACAGAGCTCTCGCTATTTCCATCCACTCTGCTGAGGTCCCAGGCCTGTTTGCCGAATCCTCTTTCAGCAGATCAATATCATGCGTTTTTAGTGGGTATAAATGTCAGCTAAAATGCATCCAATATTTCTTATTTCATCATAAATATTCAAAAACACTCTAATATAAAACGTTTTATCAATGTCAATGAAAATTATTCAAAATTGACAGCGAGAAAAGCTCTCGGAAATCAACTACGAGTCAGTCACCTTGATCACGTTCAAAACGACTGCCGAACGACCAGGCAACCGATGACGTCATTGGTTCGCGCGGAGGTCATGCACAAAGCAGTGACGTATCCGTTCTCGTTCCGTTCTCGTATGCGCATCTTAATGTCTCTATTATCTAAACAGTCTGTTAAAATTTTGTAGCATACTCAAAAAACGATTTTAAAATATAGAAAACAGGTACAAAACAAGTTTTTTTTTGGCACATTTCAATCAAAATAAACTTTTCTATACTTCACAAATCCATAGATATATCTAATTATTCTGTGAAAAATTGAAAGCTCTATCATAAATAGAACATACAATCACAGTCCCTCAATCATAGAGGGATTGTGATACAATGTACTTAAAACAGTGGTCAAAATTAACAACTTTTGTTATGATGATTAAATTTGCATATTTGCATGTATTTTAGATAATTAATAAATCACACAATCAAGCAGTTTTTCTTAAACCCCTAGCACATTCATTCATTCATTTGTTTGTACATTGATACAATTGTTCTTTCATTCATTCGTTTATGCCTTCATTTGTTCATTCATTCACATTATCTTCCCCAAATACTCAAATATTTTGTACAATACTGTTGTAACAAATTGATATTCATTTTTATGCTTAGGAGACGTAGAGGTGGACCATACAAAACTAACCCTGCCACAGACCTTACAAGATGGAGACTAAAGAATGTAGAAGGAAGACAGACTTGGTATTATGTAGAAAAAAACAAGAAGTTATTAAGAGAACAAAATATGGTTGAATTACACTCCTTGGGATTGGACACTGTAAGTAAATCACAATCATCACACTCTGTCATGTTTGATATGTTAATCGCAATCATCACACTGTGTCATGTTTGATATGTTAATCACAATCATAGCCCTGTGTCATGTTTGATATGTTAATCACAATCATAGCACTGTGTTATGTTTGATATGTTAATCACAATCATAGCACTGTGTTATGTTTGATATGTTAATCACAATCATAGCCCTGTGTTATGTTTGATATGTCAATCACAATCATAGCACTGTGTTATGTTTGATATGTTAATCACAATCATCACACTGTGTCATGTTTGATATGTTAATCG